AAATGTATCCCAGAGATCCTGGTACGTTGTATCTTCATTCTCATTGGGTTCAAAGAACACCTTTATTTCTGCCTTCATTTCATTGTTTATCCAGTCGACATTCAGGAGCCATTTATTCAGTTTCCATGAAGTTGTGCGGTTCTGAGTTAGTTTCTTAATTCTGAATTCTAATTTGATTGCACTGTGGTCTGAGAGACTGCTAGGATTTCCATTCTTTTGCATTTGCTGAGGAGTGATTTACTTCCAATTATGTGGTCAGTTTTAGAGTAGGTGCCATATGGTGTGGAGAAGAATGTATATTCTGTGGATTTGGGGTGGAGATTTCTGTAGATGTCTATTAGGTCTCCTTGGTCCAGATCTGAGTTTGTGTCCTACATATCCTTGTTAATTTTCTGTCTCATTGATCTGTCTAATATTGACAGTGAAGTGTCAAAGTCTCCCACTATTATTGTGTGGGAGTCTAAGTCTCTGTGTAGGCCATTAAGAACTTGCTTTATGTACCTGGGTGCTCCTGTATTGGGTGCATATATATTTAGGATCGTTAGCTCTTCTTGTTGCATTGATACTTTTACCATTATGTAATGTCCTTCTTTGTCTCTTTTTATCTCTGTTGGTTTAAAGTCCATTTTATCAGAGACTAGGATTGAAACTCCTGCTTTTTTTTTTTTTTTTTCTCCATTTGCTTGATAAATCTTCCTCTGTCCCTTTATTTTTAGCCTATGTGTGTCCTTGAACATCAGATGAGTTTTCTGAATACAGCACACCAATGGGTCTTGACTTTTTATCCAATTTGCCAATCTGTGTCCTTTGATTGGGGCATTTAGCCCATTTACATTTAAGGTTAATATTGTTAAGTGTGAATTTGATCCACCATTTTGATGCTAGCTGGTTGTTTTGCCCATTAGTTGATGCATTTTCTTCATTTTGTTGATGGGCTTTACCATTTGGTCTATTTTTGGAGTGGCTGACACTGGTTGTTTCTTTCCTTCTTTAGTGCTTCTTTCAGGAGCTCTTGTAAGGCAGGTCTGGTGGTGATGAAATCTCTGAGCAATTGCTTGTCCATAAAGGATTTTATTTCTCCTTCACTTATGAAGCTTAGTTTGGCTGGATATGAAATTCTAGGTTGAAAGTTCTTTTCTTTAAGGATGTTGAATATTGGCCCCCACTCTCTTCTGGCTTGTAAGGTTCCTGCCAAGAGATCTGCTGTGAGTCTGATGGGCTTCCCTTTGTGGGTAGCTTGACCTTTCTCTCTGGCTGCCTTTAACAATTTTTCCTTCATTTCAACCCTGGTGAATCTAACAATTATGTGCCTTGGAGTTGCTCTTCTTGAGGAATATTTTTGTGGTGTTCTCTGTATTTCCTGTACTGGAATGGTGGCCTGCCTTGCTAGGTTGGGGAAGCTCTCCTGGATAATATCCTTAAGAGTGTTTTCCAGCTTGGATTCATTCTCTCTGTCACATTCAGGTACACCTATCAAATGTAAATTAGTTCTTTTCACATAATCCCTTATTTCTTGGGGGCTTTGTTCATTTCTTTTCACTCTTTTTTCTCTATTATTGCCTTCTCATTTTATTTCATTGAGTTGATCTTCAATCTCTGATATCCTTTCTTCTGCTTGGTCAATTCAGCTGTTGAAACTTGCGTATGCTTTGTGAAATTCTCGTGCTGTGTTTTTCAGCTCCATCAAATCATTTATATTCTTCTCTAAGCTGTTTATTCTAGTTAGCATCTCATCTAACCTTTTTTCTAGGTTGTTAGTTTCTTTGCATTGGGTTAGCACATGTTCTTTTAGCTCTGAGAAATTTGTTATTACCCACCTTCTGAAGCCTGTTTCTGTCAATTCATCAGATTCATTCTCCATCCATCTTTGATCCCTAGCTGATGAGGAGTTGTGATCCCTTGGAGGAGGAGAGGCATTCTGGTTTTTGGTGTTTTCATCCTTTTTTCACTGGTTTCCTCCCATCTTAGTGGCTTTATCTACCTCTGGTCTTTGTAGTTCGTGACTTTCGGATGGGATCTCTGAGTGGACATCCTTTTTGTTGATGATGACATTATTTCTTTTTGCTTCTTAGTTTTCCTTCTTACAGTCAGGCCCCTCTGTTGCAGGACTGTTGGAGGTCCACTCCAGTCCCAGCTCGCCTGGGGATCACCTGCGGGGGCTGTAGAACAGCAAGAGTTGCTGCTGGTTTCTTCCTCTGCTATCTTCATCCCAGACGGGTCCTGCCAGATGTCAGCCGGAGCTCTCCTTTATGAGGTGTCTTTTGGGTGTACAGGGGTGAGGGAGCTACTTGAGGAGACAGTCTGTCCCTTATAGGAGCTTAAGTGCTTTGCTGGGATCTCTGTTGTTCTGTGCAGACCTTTAAGTCTGCTGTAGCTGAACTCATAACTGCCTCTTTTCCCAGGTGCTCTGTCCTAGGAAGGCCAGCTTTATTTATAAGTTCCTGATAGACTGCTGCTTTTTTTCACAGATACCCTGCCCCACACAGAGTAGTCTAGTCACAGTCTGCCTGCAGTTTGCTGAGCCGCCACAGGCTCTGCCCACCTGCTATGTGAACTGCCTCAGCAGTGGCAGATTGTCTTGGTAGTGCAGGAAGCCCTTCCCCCCACTGGGCTGGACCTTCCTGTGTCTAGCTGCACTTGCTGCAAAACTCTCAGTCCAGAGCATTTCAGATTGCTTGTTTTGTGGGGGTGGTACCTGCTGAGCCAGATTGCCTGGCTCCCTGTCTCAGCCCCCTCCCTTTCAGTTGAATAGGCGGCTCTGTCTTCCATGAGTTCCAGGCACCAGTCAAAACGGCTGCCCAGGCTTGTGTGAGTTTCTGTGCACCAACCTGACACCAGCTGAAACCTCCATGCCTAAAACTCATGGCGCTTTTTGGCCCAGGAATCTCCTGGTCTGTGGGTAGTGAAAACTTGTTTGAAAATGCAGTGAGCACTCACCCTCTGTGCTGTTCTCGCTGGGAACTGCACTCCGGAGCTGTTCCTATTCAGCCATCTTGAATCTTTCCCTGCTTATCTCCAATAATTTCTTAAAACTGCACATAATTTGGATAATAAAAGGAAATAGACCAACATGTTTTTCTATAAATAATAGTGAATTCACAAATATCACAATATGTACAAATTAAATTTAAATAAGAAATCTAAACTCTCAAATGCACACAGAAATCAGTCTCATCACATTTAATCATACTGTTTATATACCTTATTTGGAGAATCGCTTGCTTCAACCCAAATAAATGGATATTCTAGGATAGGAGGTTTAGAGCTTAAGCTGTTATTCCTGTTTGTTTCTTCTGAGCCTACTTTTAACGAGGATAGTAATATGTTTTTATGAGGCTTTTATCTTAAAGTTTTCTTATATGTCCAACAATGATTTTTAAGTAATCTTGGGGACAATTTCTTCATTAAAATCTTATTATCAATTTTATGAAGTTAGCAATCTTGGAAATTTGAGGTTCTAAAATAATATTCTAAAGACTTTCAGTTTTCAGTTTTACATGTAAGGAAATTAGAAGTCATCACTCTGTCCTAAAACAAATAAAAAGCTGAAGAAACTGAGAAATTAACAGCAATTATTAAATCCATCAGAGAACTGAGTCACAGGGCAAACTGCTGCCGAGAAAAAGGAGTGATTAGACAGATTCAGAGAAACATAACTTACAGGAACAAAAACCTCTTTGGGAACCAGGAGCAAGATATGAAAACCTGTATTGTAATTTAAAACTTGGCTGAAGCTCTGTATGGAAAAGTCAAGAGTTAAAAACTCCAGGAGGGGCCCAATTATGGGATGGGAGAGGCCCACACTTTTTAAGTTTTACCTCCTGCTGCCAACCAGCAGGGAGAGAGAGGGAAAGCATCAAGGAAATGAGAGGGTAACCATTGTGAAGTATACCTTGGCATTTCATTCTTCTTACAAGGTCTTCCCTTAAAAAATTAAATAAATAAATAAAACATTTTTATCAGAGCCTAACTTATACAGGTTTTTATCAGGGCCTAACCAACTTAGATCTGATGTATCTAGAAAGAGTTGTTGATTTTTCAGTTTCTTCAGCTTTTTAATTTTTTTAGGTCAGAGTGATGACTTCTAATATTCTAATATCCTTTCATGTAGAACTGGAAACTGGAAGTCTCTGGAATATTATTTTTCAACTAAACTTCCAAGACTGCTTACTTTTTATAAAACTGATAGTAAGATTTTAATGGAGAAATTCTGTTCTCAACTCTAGTCAGCCTCCTCTAGCCTTCCACATATTTGAAGGGAAATATCCAACTCTAGCCCACTCTAACCATCCTGCATCAACAAAGAGAGTGGAAAAAAGCAAAAGCATTTTTGACATTTACAGCTCAGAGGCACAGGCCTACTAAAAGACTGAAATCTAGCGATAGAACTATAGAATATTCTTCCCACCCCCAACATACACACATCTTATCACCACATTACTAAAATCTTACCACAGGTCCTTTTACTCAGTATATCATGTTCATCTTTCAACTAAAATTTACAAGATGTATTAAAAGGCAAAAAAAAAAAAA